AAGAGGGGGAAGGGTGTGGAATGATTAGGTGATGACGGTGGGCTCCTTGCGGCCAGTGAACTCCTCGACCTTGGCCAGCTGCAGCGCAAGTGACACCAGCGGCTTGAGCGCCGTCTTCAAGTGCGAGCGTGTGCATGCGAGTGAGTGTGCGTGCGTGTGTGTGTGTGTGTGTAAGAGAGAAAGAGGGAGGGGGGGGAGAGAGAGAGAGAGAGAGAGAGAGAGAGAGAGAGAGTGTGTGTGTGTGTGTGTGTGTGTGTGTGTGTGTGTGTGTTAATGCTTGAACGCGTTCAAAGGCTTTGAGTGAGCAATTCTTTGCACAAGATAGAACGACACGCACGCAATACAAATGCCCCCCCCCCTCTGCCTCCCCGAACATGGTCTGACCTGTGCCTCAACCTGACACTGCTTGCGGTCGCCTTGGTAGCTGTCAATGTACATGCGCAGGGTGGCACCGCTACGCAACGCAGCGCAACGCAACGCAAGCAATCCATCAACAACACACTCCAGTGAGATGCGGGATCCACTCCAAAGGGCAAATGAGCGAGAGAGACAGGGAGGGACACGTAGTGGGCGTAGAGACAGAGAGTGTGCGTCTATGTGTGTGTGTGTGTGTGCGTGCGTGCGTGTGTGTGTGTGTGTGTGTGTGCGTGCGTGTGTGTGTGTGTGTTGAGAGAGAGGAAACTGCAATGGCAAGGAGGAAAGAGAGAGCATAATGTGTATTGATCACAGTACCTGGAGCCGGTACCACTCAGGCGGAACACAATGCGCGAGTTGTCCTCAAACACAAACCGAATGCCCTACAACCACGTCAGCGGCACGATAACGTCAACAACACCGTCAACAGCAGCGGTGGCGGTTGTTATTGTTTGTGTTGTCATGAGGATTATCGAGAACATGTACGCCAGAGATAGAAGCAACAGCACACACGCACGCACGCACGCACACACGCACGCACGCACGCACGCAGGTGCGAACACTACCTGCTTGGAGGTGACCTCGTTGTTGGTCACGTCGGTGTACTCAAAGTTGTCGCAGATCTTCAGCTTGAAACCGCTATCAAACCTTCGGGGCAAGCAGACAAGGAGACAGCAGAGATCAGAGATGATGTGTCAGTGTACATGGCGCTGCCGTTAATAACGCATGGATACGCATATGCACACACAACACAGCACACATCACACACATCACACACATCACACGCACACACGGTCTGCATTTCCGTTTCTGCCGCTTCAGCCTCAGGAGCTGGGGGTGTTGCGCGTGCAACTTACTGCTTGCCGGCCATGGAGGCGTCCTCAGTCATGGCGCCGAGGTGCGACATCACCTTGTTGGCGTCTTCAGTCTTGAGACCCTCGTAGTCGTACCTGCACGTCACCACGGGCGAAGTGGATGGCGGGTGATGGGTCTCGAGAACATAGAGATGTAGGCAAACAAAACTACAAGACCACCGGCAAACAAAACTACAAGACCACCGGCAAACACTTGCACACGAACCCGCACACACAGACATACACACACATACACAGACATACACACACATACACAAACAGATACACAGACGCACGAACCCGCACACACACACACACACACGACACACGCACACGCAATGCACACACGCACACGACACACACCGTGTGAAGTAGTTGCGGCCAAACTCTTCCCAGTGCTTAGTGCAGATGTCTTGCACAGACTCCCCGGTGTTGCTGAGGATGGAGAGCCAGCACAGGCACGCCCACACGCCGTCCTTCTCGCGCACGTGGCTGCCGTGCCACCATAGCCAGCATCACAATCAGGGCAACGTTTACGGAAAGCAGTGGTGAGTGACAACAAGACGCAAGCGCCGCCGTGACGTGAAGCAACACGGGACATACACACGTGCACTTGCATACACGTGCACACACGTGCACCCATGCGACCATCTTTGTACCTTGAGCCTGTGCCAAAGCTCTCCTCGCCGCAGATGGTGATGCGGTCTGCATCCTGCCAAGATGCAGCACGTGGATCGTGGATGCGGTGTGGTGTGTTGAGTGGGTACATGAATGGGTAGAGGACTGCATGTGCAGATACAAACACCCGAAAGGTTCAAGCACACAGCAAGTCGCACACACACACACACAGACACACACACACACAGAGACGAGCACACACACACACACACACGCACAGCAGGTCATACACGCGCACACACACACACACACACCATGAGGTTGCCAAAGAACTTCCAGCCCGTGGGGACCTCGTAAAGGGAGAGGCCCAGCTTCTCGGCCACGCGATCGAGGGCAGACCCGGTTGGCATCGACCTGCACGCACGCGTCGCAGTCGAGGAGTCAACGAGTCATCAACAGGGGAGAGCCGTGTTGCGTGCGGGAGATATGATATGCAAGGGGGTTTTGGTATGAGGGGTTGTGTGTGTGTGTGTGTGTGTGTGTGTGTGCGTGCGTGCGTGTGTGTATGTGTGTGTATGTGTGTGTGTGTGTGGTGTGTGTGTGTGTGTCGGTAC